GTGAGGAAGAGAGATGCCACATTTGCAGTACCAAACGCAGTAAACAACTACGCTACAGGTAACTCTTGCTGTCTATATCACCGTCATTGTCAAAGAACACCAGAATGTCTTTATCTTGCTCTTTTGCCCTGTCTAATTTCATCATTCCAATTCAAACCAATATCAGTTGAGAGCCAACTGGGGATTTAAATGCATGGCAGTGAGCAACAAGATTCCTTGCCTCCAGGAACTCTCCCTAGCAAAACAGACACACCAGGCTCTGCTTTAAATCAAACTATAAGGGTTGTAACCTTACAAGATTCCCCAGAGATTATTTGAAGATGTTTTAAAAGCCAAATCTCAAGTTTTCTTATTGCTAGTTTTTAAGTTGTGGCTCATCTTACACAATGAACTAGGAATTTTAACCACAAGGCTGACCTTTCATTTCAATGGCAATCTAGCAGTTATGATTTAAGTCATGGTTGTAATGCCAATAGATCAGTGCAGAGGAAAAGGGGTTTCATCTCCTTTTCCAGGGATGTTTGAAAAGCTAAAGATGAAGAAGACCCAAAAAGGAACCAGATGTGACGAGTGACTTACTCTGACCTATTTACTCCATAAATTCAAGACTGAGAAGGCTACCATAACTCATTAGAACCTATTTGTTATATAAGAGTATTGAATATTAATTACTGAGAAGCACAATGTCAAGGATTCCATTTTCTGTAAAGCCAATATAGAGAAAGAGACCCTTTGAGAAATCTGTTCTGGTTAGTGTTGTGGGTCCCTTCACTGGAGAGACAGCAAATGGAGTTGTCAGAACTACATCTTTGCTGCCATGCCTCTGTGAGTCCCTGTCCTGAGGTAAATACACCTTGTTGGGGAGACAAGTGTGTCACAATAATATGTCATGTGTTTGTTGGAACCACAGGAAGGGTCCTGAGCTGATAGAGACTGAGGTGGGCCCAGGCTTTGCAGGCAGAGAAAGTTGAGTGTGCAATGTTGGAGTGGGGAGAAATGCAGAATGGGAAAACGGGAGGATGGAAACCAGGAGGAATGAGCCAGGAGAAGCTTCCTCTGGGCAGACCACACATTGTATGTTGATTGGAACAATTTCCAAGGAACAGGTGAGATCCCAGACCCATTCTGGAGATACCCGAAGATGCTCTCTGACACCATGGACATGTCTTTATGGATGATTCACAATTTAGAAATTGCTTTCTTGTGACTCCCATACAGTGAGATGTTACTACTTCAGTGCATTGATGGAGAGCGCACAAGCTGTGCATCTTTGAATACTCCACTTTTTTTGCACATTTGGGGTCCCTCAGGAGCAATCAGTCACATTATCTAGTAGTCATAAGCTTGCATATATATTAGTTCCATCATTATCCCTGACTGGACTATTAGCTAAGGATAGGGATGCAGTCTTGATTATCTTTGTACCTCCTATAACTCAAGCCATACAGACCATTCCATGTCTGGAATGACAACTGGGAGAATGGGAATAATAGCATGTCCCACCCTCCTTGATGACATTTTTGTGTGAAAAAGCATATGCAACCACTTTTCAGTAAAGGCACCCCTCCCCCCAGAAACACAGCTTCATGCTTGCTCTGAGAACATTACCCAGTCTCTCTGGGAGCATGGAGAGTTGGATAGTGTATGAAATGTTCTGCCAGAAGCACACCCAGAATAAACCCCACCTAAAAATCTTGCTCCTCGTAGACTTAGACTGCTCAGAAGAAATGGCTGCTGCACTGTGGTTTTCAGTCCTACCTGAGGATGTGCGCTGAGTTAAAGCATTTCCAGCAGTGGTGAAGTCCTCAAATTCACAGAAAGCTCTGAAAGCCTAGAAAGGCTAAGAGCGTGCCTCCCCCCTTTCTTTCAGCTTTAATAATTTCCTTTCTATTTATTCTCTGAAAATGACTGTTTACATCTGTAGAGTCTGTTGTTAAGCTTTATAAACATGGTGGGCAAAGCCAGCAAGATGGCTCAACAAAGGTACTTACCACTTAAGCCTGAGGAACTGACTTCAGTCCCCAAGCCACATGCATGATAGGAGAGAACCAGTTCTACAAAGTTGTCCTCTATCCTTTACATGGGTGCTATGCCATGCATGTACACACACAGACACACCTGGTTCTATATACACATGATGGCGAATGAAATATAAAAACTAGGAGAGAGGTATGGATGAGGACACAGGAGACATCAGCGTAAATAATAGAAAGAGGAAAGTCCTCCTTCCTGGGACATCTGCTCATTCTGCCATACTGGCTTCTTCTGAAAACATGCTGACTTTACATCATTGAAATCAATACCACAAGGGAATTTTTGAACTATTGTACCCTCCATCACAAACACATATGCTGATGCAAGCAATACTGCCTACTACTTATGGAGCACTGGCTATGTGCCGGGGTCCTTATGTATAAAACTTTGTTAAATGTACATGTCTTTCATTCTCCTCAGCCTGAGATAGCATTTACATCTAGTATCTGGAGTAAATAAGGCACAGGGAGGCCAAAAGGAATAGGCAAAAGTAGGGTGGGTTTCTTCCACTCTGCCCTAGAGAGAGATCTCACTGACATTAGGAAATGCATGGTTCCATGTGTCTATCCTATCCCAGCCTTTATTACTTTTTGCACGTAATCAAAGGGGTGTGTGTGTGTACACCCAGGTAGACATAATCATTGACAGACACACCCTGGACATAATTAATGATTTTATTTTGCTTCTCACAAAAGCACTGTAAATGGAAACCATTTAATTACAAATGTGCAGTGTTTCTTTATTTAATTATGTATAACTTCGCTAGGTAGATAACTCTGTATGTACTCCTAAAGGTTGTTCCCTGTAGGGTCCTCAATACCTAGCACTATACCTGGTACATTGTACATTTACATAAATGTTCATGAACAAATTGCGATTGAAAAATCAAAGAATCACAATGTTAATGGCAGTATTAATGCAGTTATCATTGTGATACTCCCCTAAGAGGAGTGTTTTTGTTAAGCGCGAGATTTACCTTCTTGAAGTTCTAAGTGCGCAATACAATGCTGTGTGCTGCAGTAGCTTGTAACAGCCCCTCCAGCACTGCTTCATTCTGCAGGACTGAAACTTAGTCCCAGCTCCCAATTTCCTCCCCCTCCCGACCATTGGCAACTACCTTTTTACTCTAACTTCTGAGTTTTAGCTACCTCATGGAGGTGAAGTCATGCACAACATTTGTATTTCTATGACTGGGTCCATTCACTTAACATGATGTCATCAAAGTTCATTCATGTGGAACATGGCAGGATTTCCTTCTTTTCGAAGACAGAAAAACACACCATTGTATGTATGCAGCTATGTTCTTTATCTACTTGTATATCAATGGATATTTATATTTCTTCCACTTCTGGACTATTGTGAATAACCTGCAGTGAACATGGGGGTGCAGGTGTCTACTCCACATCCTGATTTCAATCCTATTTAATAAATACCCAGAGATTGTTGTGTCATATAGTAGTTCTAATTGTATTTTTATTGAAACCCCTCTATTTTCTGGAGTGGCTGCACTGTTTTGTATTCTCACAAATAGCATTCAAGGGGAACAAGTATTTTGAGAAATCAAAATACACACACACACACACACTCATGCAACATTGTTGGACTCTTGGAAAATAATACATCAAAACTAACACATTCAGCATGATTCAATCTCAGGCCAGTGTGTTCCTGAAGAGTCTTTCTAGAGAGGAATCAGAAAATAAGAACCACCCACCCATTGCTCCAGACTGAAATGTTGGCAATCACTGGCCCAACACTGAAAAATTAGCTGGATAAAAGCTATTTGAACAGTGGAAAATTGTGTCATTATTTGAAAATAATAATTACAGATAGTTAAAAGCCAACAATTGTAGAAACATGGAAAATATTGTGATACATATAAAATATTATGATAGTGTGAGGGACAGGATTTAGAACATTTGTTTGTACTTTCAATTTCAAAACTGTAAATGGTATGGATCACTGCCCTTAAGAATATGGCCCACTTCAGTAATGGCACCACCAGCCAGACTCACGCTAGAGCTTGGGAGAAATGTGAATTTTTTAGCACCAGGGGTATTAGTCAGGGTTCTCTAGAGTAACAGAACTTATGAATCTTTGTCTCTCTATAAACGTAGAAAGGGAATTTATTAGAATGATTTACAGGCTGTAGTCCAGCTAATCCAACAGTGGCTGCCTTAAATGGAAGGTCCAAACATCCAGTAGTTAGTTGTTCAGTTCATGAGGCTGGATGTCTCAGCTGTCTTCAGTATATACCAGAATCTTAAAGAAGCAGGCTCTAATGTCAGTGGAGGAATGGACTTGCTAGCAAGTGTGAGAGCAAGCAGGCAAAGAGAGGGAGCCTCCTTCTTCCATGTGGTCTGGATTATCTTCTCACCTCAAAGATCTGGATTAGAGCTGGATCTTCCCCACTTGTGAGTGATTTAGTTAAGAAAAATCCCTCACAGGTTAATCCCAGGTGGCGATAAGTTGACAACCAAGAGCAGCCATCATACCAGGTGTACAACATCAGTTTGCCTTTTTAACAAATGTTACACTTTGAATGTAAAGTCTCCCTCACAGGATATTTGGACACTTGGCTTCCAGGTGATGTCTCTGCCTGGGGAAGCTCTGGCGAGTCTATGAAGTGGAGTCGAGATGGCAGAAGCAGGTCCATGAGGGCAGAACTTTGCTGATTGTTCCCACATCTGCTTCTGGCCTAGCTCTCTCTGCTGTTGTGGAAGTGGCATCCACAATCTGGACCCCAAGACCCATGAGGCCCTGTCACCACCATGGATGGTAACTCCCCTGAAACCATGAGTCAAATAAATGTTTCCTCCCTTAGCTCCTTCTGTGGAATATTGTCACATCAATGAGGAAAGAGACAAGAAGATTCTCATTCCATATACCTGCACCAGGTTGCAACTGATGACTCATAGAAGGCTTCTGTGACAACCTCTCTCCCCCACCTCCCCCAAAAGAAACAGTCTAGACAGGAAGCCATCGAAGAGAACTCTGATAGGGATCACAGTTGATGGCTCCTGGTGGTGTAGGGATGAAGAAGGGACTCGGTTTTCTTTAAGGGGAGGACTGCTTGGAGTTTGGCCACGCTCCAGTGAGTATATGAGCAACACAAATTGGACTTGCGTTTTTCTCTCTTCTTAATTTCCCATCTGTGGTATGAAGCAAGTCACCCAAAGTAAATTTCTTTCGGCCGGACTTCAGGTGAGGGAGTCAACAAGCTGACTTCCAGAGGACACGCCATTAGTCCCTGGTGGTACTCACCTGATTCCCAGTCTAGGCAGATGAGTGTCTGTGAACCGCCTCACAAGTGGAGAGGGGCCCCTAGTGTGACACCATCTTGACTCTCAGCTAGTGCAAGCACATACATGTTTAAAGGGAGAAATGGACTCTAAAGGGAAGGTGACTTTGCCCAAGTGAACTTCAAGAAATAAAATGAACACTTTAAGTTCTGCTGAAAAGGCAGAACTTTATTACGTATCCACAATATGCTACTCACAAAACCTTTTTTTAAAAGTGGAATTTAGAGACAAACTTGTTTAGGAGGATAGAATTGCACACTCAACTAAAAAGTTTTAAAAGCTCAGCTACTTTGAATTTGCCTCCAAGAGGACTATTGTAAAAACTGCAGGAAAGGGAGGATCATTAAAAGCATGGTTATATCAAGACTAATCTCCAGAGAGATAGAGCATCAGTTGATACTGCTCCATTAAGAGTCGCAGAAACCTCATGACAAGGAAAGGTTCTGAGGAACAGCGTTTCATCAGGAGACAACAGCATTGTGTTATTAGGCTAAAGGGAGATGATAGACGATCAATTTTCATCACGGCTCCTCTGTTCATATTAATGCCCAGGTCTTCTTCAAATGACAGAGAAGAGCAATAATGTAATAAGTAAATAAATAAACCCAAATACTGAGCCAATTCAATATTTTTAAAAATTCTACATTATTTATTTTCCAACGAGAGTCAGCTAGGAAACTTACATTGACTCTATGTAGAATATATCAGAGTTTTAGAGGTAAAAAGTAACGTAGATTTTACTGTAAACAAATGTTTAAGTGCAAAATATTTGTGTCTTTAACATTAACTTCTTGGAAGTAATTTTACAAAGTATCTAGAATGGGATGAAATGTTTTCAGTCAGACAAGTCCTCTACATGCCCATAGCTATCACTGTAAACATTTTCTGTGTTGTTCTACTTGTTCAAGAAATATGGACTCTGTTTACTTTAAATACCCCCCATTTCCTTTTATATAACTCATCTATTAGAGTGAAAGCAGAATTTAAAAAAATTATGGGTATATGTGCTTGTGTATGTGTTGTGTGTGTGTGTGTTTGAGTACATTTGTATGTGAGCGAGCACACCTATGCATACATGTACAGAGGCTAGAAGAGGATATCTATGTCCTGCTCTGTCACTCTGCCTTATTTCTTGAGACAGGTCTCTTGCTGGCTGTGAGCTAGAAGAGCAACTAATATCTATGCAATCCTCCTGGCTCCATCCCCCATAACTCTGGGGTTAGAGCTATGCATGCAGTCATATACCTGACTTTTTACCTAATGGCTAGATAGTCTCAGATTCTCAGGCTTTTGTGCATGAAGCCCACGTACCTTCTGACCCATTTTCCCAACTACTCTGCCCTCTAATGCTATGTTCCAAATACTAAGGATAGTTCCCAACACAAAACAGAGGCTCAATAAACAAGCATTGATCACTGATGTCTTTTAAATGCTCTGTATATTCCTTGTGCAGTAACTAGCAAGTTATTGATGCAACAGAATGCCAGTGACCAATAGGGATCATTATGTGGTAAGACCTAAAAAATAAATATTTCCTTGCAATGTTCTCAGTATTTTCCTGTACTTTGTGGGTGCCTACGCTTGTTTTACAATGAAAAGAATAAACAAACCAGCAAGTGACTGTATTATGGCAAACAGAAAGTGGAAAGTGTTTATATGCAATTATCCTGCACTCCCATCTTGGTCCCCTTCAGCCAAAACCCTCTCACACTGGGTTTCACATTTTCAAAGGCATTGTCATAAAGCCAGGAATATCAACAATATCACTTGCATTCCTGCGCCTCGAGTTGAAAAGAAGTCACTCTTAGGTGGGTTGCTCATGTTTGTCTCCGGAGAAAAGGGTAGTGCCATGGAGGGCTAGACAGGATCACACCACACTATGAGAGACAACTAACTACTGGTTTTGATATTGCTCAGCGCTGAACTCTGTGGTGTCTACTTTTGTTCTTAGCCTGTTCAGAGATCCATGAAGCATAACTCTCTAAGTGTGCCTTTTGTTACAGTTGGAAAGTTTTTAATCACATTTTCTTCAAAAATGTGTCTACTGGATGTTCTGACTCATTAACAATCATATGTGGTGATATACTATTTATGATTTATTAAAGCTTGCCTGAAGGTACAGAAAGCAAAGCTCGCCACAAGAGATAGAGGTCAGGCAATGGTGATACACACCTTTAATCCTAGGACTCAGGAGACAGGCATATGTATCTCTTTGAGTTCAAAGCCACCTTTGCCAACACAAGAGTGAAGAGTAGCAGAGCTCACACCTTTGATCCCAGCACTTGGGAGGGGGAGACAGCAGTGATATGGCTGATATGGAGAAGGAAAATAAGGAGGAGGAGACTGGAAGTCCGAGCTTTTGCCTCTGAGGATTTGAAGAGATAACATTGTCTCTGAGGATTTGTGGAGACTGGACAGCCATTTCTGCCTGAGGTAGAGGTAAGAACTAGTGCGTGACTGCTTTGCTTCTCTGATCTTCGGCTTGAAGCTTGAACCCAATACCAGTCTCTGGGTCTATTTTTTGTGCTACCATCGTACATATGTTAGACTCTTGATATTATCTTTTTTGTCTCTATTAATTTTTTCACTCTTCCTTCCCTCTGCTCTGCAAATGATTTATTTCTACTCAGATCTGCTCAGGTTGACTAACTCTGCCTTGTGTTCCCCACCAGACACTATACAGTTTAGCCAGAGAGTGTTTTACTTCATATATTGTCCTTTTAGTTGTTTATGAGTCACTTTTGCTTTACTTTTGGGTAATTTGCTTATCTCCAAAATTTTATTCACTCCTTGATCAAAATGATTTATGAGAGTTGCAGGCCTAAGCTTTATGTTTTTGCAAGCATATTGTTCTTACGTCTTTGAATGTAGCTATAATCAGCTACTTTAGTATCTTCACTGGCTAATTCTAATGTCTAGTTCATTTAGGTGTATTTATCGCCTTCCCTATAAAGTATTATTTGCATTTTGTATTGTTTCATAGTAACTAAAAATTATCACACATATCCATTTATTTGTGTGTATGTGTAAATATGTATGTGGGTGCCTGAATACCATTGTTCACATGTGAAAGTTAGAGAGCAACTTACAGAAGTTGACTCTCCCCTTCCACCATGTGGGTCTCAGGGGTTAAACTAAAGGTGTCAGGCTTGACAGTAAGTGTGTTTACCCATGGAGCCATCCTGCCTTTCCCCCTCAAAGTAATTTTGAATTGTGTCTTGAACACTGTGATGTGTTACAGAGACCCTTTTCTGTCATATTCATTGATATTTTTGTGTTAGCCAGCAATTACTATGGCTAAACTCAATCTCTGAGCCATTACATAATTCAGTTATCAGTGGAAGGCCTATTTCATTCTTTCTGACTTAGCTAGACTGTTTGGAGTCTGTATCATGTATGCACACATAGTTCAGGGACCAGAAAAAGACTTAAGCAGTCATGTTCAAGAAATTTTGAATCCCCTCATCCAATTGCTATGCTAGTTATGCTTTATGTCACTGTGACAAAATATTTGTCATATGGAATTTATGGAATAAAGGATGTATTTTGGATTATGATTTCAGTTTGTGGTTCTTAATACCATTGGTTCTGGGACTATATATAGGCAGAGCCTCATTACTGCCAGAATATACCAGAAGCTACTCATTCTATGGATACAGGAAGGAAAGAGGAGGGAGCAGAGAGACAGTGTGGTACCCAGGATATGGCTCAAACAAGACTCTTTTGATTACCTACTCCCTCCAGCTGGGCCACACATTCTGAAGTTTCCATAGCTTTCCAAACTGATTCCTCTAGTTAGAGACCAACCTTCAAATACATGAGTCTTTTGGAGGGAGGACACTTCTTATCCAAATCATAACAATTCTTTCTTGGACCCTCCTAACTTGCAGTGGCTAAGGTCACCGTGGATGCTCTCTTCTGGTTCTCTCTCAGGTAAGGCTGCATGCTTAGCAGTTTTAGCAGCCTTCCTTAGTAATGACTGAGGCATGTCCTCAGAGGAAAACTCTATTTAAAATGCAAAATTCACATGTGACATTTCTTTGTCCCTGGGACTTTTTCTACTCTGCCTGCTTCTGTTCTCTTTCCAGTGCCTTCAGGTAACTGCGTTTATTTTTTTCCCTGTATTTTCTAGATTTTGTAGTTTTAATTTGTGGAGGAGTTGGCTTTATAGAAACTATTTTGGTCTAGTAGCAACATCCATATTTCCATGTCTTAGAAAGTATCGCTTTCAAAATTAGACTAGAGGGACGACATCACTAGCATCTTTGACAACAGTGCAGGCAAAGCTGCAAGAGGTTTTGGTGATTAGATGAAAGGGAAAACCTGTATTGAGAGAATCAGACCCCTAATTTCCAGCTCTCTAGTAAGTGGCTGAAAACTGAGCCTGACCTGAAATGTCAAGAGCTCCTGGATAGAGATGTAGTTTGCTTTAAGAGGCAAGGTGATGGTTTGAAGTGGTGTTTTCACAGGAGAGAGGGAATGTTGTGACTTTGCCTGAAGAGATGTGAACAGCCATTCACACCCCACACCTTGCATAGAGAATCAACAACAGAACAAAGAAGTGATTCCACCCAAGTGAAATATCATAACAGCCCCTTCCATAGAATTTCCTGAGCAACTGGAAGGCAGCTTGCCCTGTTTTCTGCCTTCTTTCCCCCCAGAAACTATTACTACTTCTGTAACCTTGGAGAAGGGCCTTGTGAATCTTGTAACCTTCAGGAGCTTTCTGAAACTTGGGAGTTTTGTTTCCTTTTTGAACCCCAATGAGACACCATGCTCTTTCCAATATTTTGATAATGGAATGTTTTAATTCATAAGAATAAGGCAGAGGGAGAGACACTGGGAATGACATGGGCTTTTGAAAGTTCAAAGTCTGCACCCAATGACACACCTCCTCCAACAAGGATACACTTTCTAATCCTTCCCAAACAGTTCCACCAACTGGGAACCGATTAAGAGTGGAAGCCATTCTCATTCAAACCAGTGATGTAGTGTACAACGAGAAACAGAAACAAGAGTTGATCCCTGGGGAAGAAACAGACTATAGAACAGCCAGAAAACCAGGAGAGTGGTTATGGTGACAGAAGAGAGAGTGGACAGAAGAATGCTAGTTAACATCACCGGGAGCTTCAAATTAACCAGGTAAACTGAAGACCAAAGGAGCTTCCATTGGGTCCTTTGTTGGAATGTTACTGATAGCCTTTGTGGGATCAATGAATGACAAATGGGAAAATATTTAAAAGTTAAAAAGACGATGTGCATATCATCCTGCATCTACAGATTCCTTCAAAGCTTTTCACCATTTTCCATACATACATTTCATAATCATGTATCACATGACTTTCACAGAAAATTGTTACAGACGGTTCTCAACCTAGGGTGTTTGATTGACTTTTTTTTAACTTTGTAGTGGTTTGAAAGCAATACACATAAGTGACAACTGTACTTTTGCTTTTGAAATTTGATCTTTCCCTAGACTAGCTGTATGTAGAGTGCTGTTCTAGCACAATGCAAACCAATGGCACCATACTATAGCTCCCAGGCAGCCACGCCATCACCAAGGCAGGTAAGCATTACTCTGAGCAATGACCGTGAGTAGTTTACTGTATTAAACACATTTCTGACTTACAGCTTTTGACTTATGGTAAATTTGTTGGGCCATAACCCCACCACAACTTCAGTAGCATCTACATTTAAAAAAAAACATTTTTGGTCAAATATTTATGTGGCTATCCTTTAAAACAAAGTCACTTGATTAATTATGCCTTTAAAAAAATTAACCTATACAAAAATACTTTTATTTCCTAAGGCTTTTTTAAGATCTTTTTTAATTTAAATTAGAAAAAAAGCTTGCTTCACATGTCAATCCCAGCTCCCTCTCCCTCCCCTCCTCCCCCACTCCCCCAACAACACCCCGGTTCCCCCCAATCCCCACTCCTATCCCCAGGGAAGGTGAGGGCCTCCATGGGGGATCTCCAGAATCTGTCATTTTATCCAGGGCAGGGCCTAGGCCCTCCTCTATGTGTCCAAGCTGAGAGAGCATCCCTCCATGTGGAATGGGCTCCCAAAGTCCACTTGTATGCCAGGGATAAATACTGACTACTACTCAAGGCCCCCACAGATTCCTGAGGCCTCCTCACTGACATCCAAATTTAGGAGATTTGGATCAGTCCTAAGCTGGCCTCTCAGTCATCAGTCTGGGGTCCATGAGTTCCCTCTTGTTCAGGTCAGCTGATTCTGTGAGTTTCACCAGTCAGGTCTTGACCTCTTTGCTCATCACTCCTCCCTCTCTTCAACTGGGTTCCAGGAGCTCAGTTCAGTGTTTAGCTGTATGTGTCTATCTCTGCTTCCATCAGCCACTGGATGAAGGCTCTGGGAAGGCATACAAGGTAGTCATCAATCTCATTATCGGGGGAGGGCATTTAAGGTAGCCTTTCCACTATTGCTTAGTTTGCCAGTTTGTGTCATCTTTGTAGATCTCTGGAAATCTCACAAGTGCCAGATCTCTCCTCAAACCTATAATGCCCCATTCTATTGTGGTATCTGTCATCCTGCTCTCCTCTATTCTTCCCCCCAACTCAACCTTCTTGCTTCCCCATGTCCTCCTCTCCCCTCCTCTTCCCCTCTCTTTTCCCCAGCTCCCTCTCCCCTCCCTACATGTTCCCAATCCACTCAGGAGATACTTAGGGTTCTCCCTATTTCCCAGACTCTCTGGCAGTGGGATTGTTGGCTGGCATTCCCCTGATCCATGTCTATTATCCATATATGAGAGAGTACATACCATGTTTGTCTTTTGTAACTGGGCTACCTCACTCAGGATGATTTCTTATAGTGTCAGTCTTTTTCCTGCAAATTTCAAGGTTCCATTGGTTTTGTTATTGTTGTGATTGTTTGTTTTTGTTTTTCCCCTGCTGAGTAGTACTCCATTGTGTAAATGTACCACATTTACTCTATCCATTCTTCAGTTGAGGGGCATCTATGTTACTTCCAAGTTATGACTAATACAAATAATGCTGCTATGAACATAGTGGAACAGACGTCCTTGTTGTATGAAGGTCCTTCAAAAAATTTAAAGTAAGCAATTGGCAAAAAGATTATGGCAGAAAATTTCAGTAGTATATCAGTAATTTTTCTTACCTCAAAAGATATTTCATTAATTGAGTCTTCCAGTTGATTTGTATTCTAAGTTGCCATTTCTAAGGATATGACCATGGGCTTAATCGTTCTGAGAATCAGATCAGGTTCCTGGCCAAGTTAGTAACAATGATAGCAAAACTGCTTATTTAATTGTCCTCCTCCAGGCATTGCTGTAAGCTTTACATATAACGAATGATGCCATACACATAACAGCTGTATCACGTAGTACTGCTATCTTTCCAATTTCAGATGACAAACATAAAAAAAGACATTTGTCTGAAATCACATAACTAAAGTGGCAGAGCCAGGATTTGAGCAAACAAACATGGTACTCATTAGCTGAAAATTGATATCATTATAATTTATTAATTCATTTAATAAGTATTTTTAAAATAAACTTTGAGTGTGGTTTTCAATTAGAGAGATACAAATTTGAATTTCAAACAAATGGCTGAAGTTTAGTGTGTGCTTTCCAAGTTTAGCATTCTTTTAAAAATATGCTGATAGAGTTGGAGAGATGGCTCAGTGGTTACCAGCACTGACTGCTCGCTCTTTCAGAGGTTCTAGGTTCAATCCCAGCACCCACATGGCAGCTCACAATTGTCTGCATGCCTGTAATTCAAGTTCCAGGGAACCCGGCACCGAAAGCAAATGTACATAAAATAAAATAAATGTAAGTAAATCAAGAAATATACTGAGTTGCCAAGAGTATCTCATATCTTGGAAGTTTTTGAGAAGATAAATGGGAACCTGAGTTGGGTACAAATAACCATGAGGCCTTTAGTGAGTGTATCAGGATTCCGTTTTACAACCTGGAGACATAATTATATTCATAGCCTGCCTGTCTGAGGACAGCTGAGAAGGAAGGGAGCAAATGGCACAGCAGTTGGGGTCCATCATTCGCATCAGTCCAGCTGCCCGGAACTGTACCACAGAGAGTGTTTAACTGAAAGGGACGGCATCTTACTAAGAGAACTGGGACTCAGTGGGAACACGAGAGGCATAAGACCAGAATTAGGATTTTTATAAAATAAACAAGAAAACTGTACCACCATAGATAATGACGTTCTGGGAAGACAGAAAGTTAACAACAGATTAGGAACAGACAGACAGATAGGGTGTTGTGATGTGTAGTGTTGACTCAGGAGTTGAAAGAGATTGATGTAAACCTGGCCTTGGCATAGTTCTTACTCCCTTTAAATCTGGATTATTTTATAAAGCAGTCTTGATGTCTGTTCTGGAGACTTACAATGAAGAAATGAGCTAATGTAAGAGAAGAGCCTGGTGGTGTTACTCAGTTATGCAAAACTCTGCTTAAATGTGTCATAATATAATGACAAAAATGGGAGAAAATGAAAAATGAACAGATTGAAACACTAAATCACAGAGCAGCTGCATAACTGAATAATGTATAAGCATTTACAATTGTGTCTCACATGCAACTAATGTGGGAATATATAGCATAAAGTCTCATGAATATTACTATATTTTGAATGCACATAAATATAATTTTATGTAAAATTATATTTGCATTGAAAGGTTGTAAATGACTTTGGTTTCTTTCACATATACTAAAACCCTACTTTTTTTAACTTTCCAGCTTTTCTGCAATGAGAGTACATTGCTTATTTGAAAACATAGATGTGTCCTTGGCAATAAGTCATCATGGATGTTTTAACATTAGTGGTCTCTACCCCTGTCATTGAGGAGTTCTGATTTGCTGTTCTTCAAATCCACCCACAGCTTTATCCCTGAGAAAATGGCAACAATCCAGCAGAAACCAAAAACGTGTACCTAAAGGAATGAAAAGGGTTTTATTTCACTTATTTTGGGTGGGATTTTTGGGGGGCGGGGGTTCTGCCTGGGTGTGTGTTGTTCAGAGAGGAAGTATATGTCAATAGAAAAGAATGTAATTCTTTGCAGGGAAATAGATGGCCAGTGGACAAAAAGAGAAACGCTAGTGCATGCTTCTTGAAGTTTCTTCACGCTCAGACGAGCTCTCCTCCCTAGTTGGAGGAATCAGTCAACCACTCACCCACACAAACTTCAGTGTCTGGAGAGTAGGAATATGGTGTCTTCCCAGTGATTATGAGGTGCCAGTGTGTTTTGAGATATGACCTATGAAACTGACTTTGTTTTTTGGAAAAGTTGACACCTCTTTGGGCTTCAGTTTCTCAACTGTAAAATCCTATCCATCTGCCAACCCTGAGGAAAAGTCCACTGATGGAGGGATTATGTTTGTCCCATTTTTGTACCCACAAGTTCACATATAAACTTACTGTTTATCGACAAAGTTGTGTTGAACAAAGTTGTTCCAAGTGTCATTTAAAGTTTACAATCATTGTTGGCAATTACGTCTGTCAGCATGGTCCCCCAAGGTGTTTATTTATATAGGATATTTATTTCTCAGGAAAACAAGTATAAATCAAGTGTAGGGGAGTGTTATGATCCAGATGGTGATGGTATCTTTAAACTTTGGTTTCTTTGTCCTAGAAACTATCTATCTTGTTGAATTGTTCTTGACCTCGTCAAAAAGTGTTATATGAAAGGCTAGGCACTTCTGTGCCCTTACTAAATGTTAATTGTCTATCAACATGAAAAATAAAAAGTAGTTTACTCATTTAACAGTAAAATTGGACTATTTGATTTGAAGGACCTTACTTGACTGCCATCACATAGTGGCACATATTTTTTCAATGGGAATAGATTGGACTCCAAAAGGCTAACCCAGAGCATTGATCTTGCGAATATCCTGGCCAGTGTTGGCCATTTTAAATGGTAATGTGTCAAATTGTTGTTGGCTATGTATTAGTTTAGCAAATGAATGCCACACATAGGCATTATACTAGAACCTGAAAAGAAGCAATCAGAAGACACATCTTTTTGGCCACAAAGAACTCACTGTGTAGGATAAAAGAAAGAGACAGAATGAAATTTTTATAATGCAGTAATTACCAGGCTATAGCCCAATGGCCATTTTGCTTTAGAATGGTAACTAAAGGTCTCCCACATCTTTGAAGTTTAAGAAATAATATGAAGATCGTTAGGGTGAAAAGGCATCAACTTCATAAAGGATGATGATTTTGCTTATGAATGAAAGTTCTGTTAAATTTAAACTTCTGTTAAAAATGAACAGAAATGAGGAGTAAAAGTTTGCAAAAGGAACACAATCACTGTCTAATATTAGAAGGAATGAAAAATGGAAAGAGAGTGGTGAGGATACTTACTCCTTGTTCACATTGAATTTCTCCATTTTCTTAAAATTTTGAATCAAAGCCAGAGGCACATTTTGTTCCAATAGTGAATGTATTATAGCACTGCTATGGTGATGCAAGGAAAGCCAAGTCTTTCTCCAGGTGCCCTCATTTTGCTATTTCACCTGTCACTCTCTGGATTTTCCACTTTAAAATTATCACCTAACCACCATCAAGATCTTCATTCCTTTGTCCAATTCATCTGGCATCCTGGGGCTGGAGATGCAGCTCAGCAGTTAAGATGTTCACTACACTTGCAGAGTAGTTCAGTTCTGATCACCCACTTAAACAACATGCAATTGCCTGTAACTCCAGCTTTAGGAGATCCAATGCCCTCTTCTGGCCTCTATGGGCACCTGCACTCATGTGCACATACCCATATAGAGATACACTCATATACGTAATGGAAGTTTTCAAATAAAATTTTAAGTGAGTTTTTTTTAAGATCTTGCATCTTATCTATTTTACTTAAAAGCAAAAGTATAAGTTTCCCCAACCAGAGTATAGGGTCTATATAAGTTGAAATTGCTGTGTGTTCATTTCATAACTTCAGACCCTGCTGCCTTGGATACCATGCAGGTGCTCTGTAGACTGACGTCCTAAGACTGTAGAGCAGAATGCCAATAGTGATTATCTCTGAATGGAGAGATTACAGATACACCCCCTCCTTCCTTCTACATGGTATCTGGGCTTTTTTTTATTTTAATAGGAATATATTAATGTTATTATTTAAGGAAGCTCTTTTAACTAAAAACAGTAATATTGTTACCTGACTATTGATAAAAGGGACTCTGCTAGAAACCACAATGGAGTCAAGCCAAGGAGTGTCAAGAAACCCAGTGGGCTGAAGACAAAGTTCTCCTCAATTCCTACAGTCTCTTCTGTCACCTGTTTTGTTTTTGTTGCTTTAGACACTGGGATAAATTCCAAGTCAGAGGTTACTGACTCACGAAGGGTCATCTGTCCCACAGTTTCCCATCCTCAAACAGTGGAGCCAAAAAAAGTCACCTCATCTTTCCACCCAACAAATGATTTCTTTTTTGCATCTTGTTTCTACTTAGGTTTCAGGCAATTCTTCGCTGGGTCACTGGCTTCTTATTTTTCCTTGGGAACTGGACTCTTTTTAAACCATAAAAGGGATGAAATGCATCACCTGATACTTCTCTATTCAGCTGTTGAAGCCATGCCCCAGATGGAGGCCCTGTGTGCCACACTCTCCCATTGTGGACAGCAGCATCTACACCCAGTCCTTTGAAGACCGCACATTTGAAAATGATCTCAGAGCTTTTGCTGTTCCTTTCTCTCTAATTTTCTTTCTGTTCTGTTGTTGGTTGTGGCCATTGTCTATAGCCAATGACTGCGGCTGCAGAGACACACAGTTCATCTACATCTTAAAGTACAGACTGTCTTGAGAGCAACAAGGCAAGGTGGCTGCCATGACTCAAAAGTTTGAGGACTTGCATTCTTATCATTACTCTGCCACTAAATTGCTACATGATCCTGATCAGATCTTCTGAATTATGCCCCAGTGTCTTTATCCTTATTCTACAGTCCCTACAGTCCAGCTTTGTTAATTAAGGACCAACAGTGACACCTGGTGGTTCATTTTAGGCCATGCCTTTCTTCACTGGACAGCTCAAGGGAAACAACTGACCCTTGGCCTATACTCCTTTGTGGCCCCTGACCCATCCATGACAGTCATCACTGTTGCAATTTTAAAAAGTGTTGCACGAGGGAAACACACCATGTGACAAAGCTTGGGTGGAGGGGGTTTTTTATTGGGGAAAAAGTGAATGGGAAAAGAGGGGAGGGGAGACCAGCCTCTGGGGACAGGAACTGCAGAGAGAAGAGAGAGGCAGAGAGAGCGAAGGGAAGAGGGAGAGAAGGAAAGGGAGAGAGAGAGAGAGAGAGAGAGAGAGAGAGAGAGAGAGAGAGAGAGAGAGAGAGAGAGAGAGAGAGAGAGAGAGAGAGAGAGGTGGACAGAGCCATTTTAAAATGGAATCTAGTGAGTGTGCACAGGTGGTGCTCTTAGTGGCTGCAGCTGAGGGCATATCCTGTCAGAACCCCAATGACAGGCCAGTACAGATGCCTGGATACTAACAATCACTGCCCTTACTTTGTCTCCTACCAGACTCAGAAGAACATTTCTATCTTCCTCCACAAGTTGCTTCCAGCCTCAATCTGGCAGATGCTACTAAAATCAATGTAAAAACTTCAGACACACTTGTGAATGAGAGGGCTTCAGTCTCTGGTGCTATGCCAGTTGGCGGGACAGCTTTGGAGGAGACATGGGCCACCACTGCTAAAGTAGTAGAAGTAGAAACTTGATTGTTTCTCAGGGATCTCCCTAGCTTATAAAATGATCAGACTCCAAATTGCTTCATGCCTTGGTTACCCCATGTGTAGAAGAAAGGAAAGTTGCCATTAGCACTGCCTTCAAACTTTATTTATTCATTCTTTGAACATTTAATGATCATTGATCTGTGCCAGAAATGCAAACTTGAAGACACATAGTTTTCAAGTCTTGTTCTGCGTAATGGAAAAGACAAGAAAACTCCCGATACCAGGCAAAAAGATGTCTTATGGTAGATGGTGTGAGGGATGAAGACATGGCTCCCTGGGCAAGAGTGCTTGCTCCTCGGGTATGAGGATCTGAGCTGAAATCCACAGTGTTCACATCAAAATCTGGGAAGTGCCTGCTGATGCTCTTAAAGCCCCAGCACGGTGGGAACTAGAAACCAGAGGGTCGCTGGAACCCCTTCAGATCCAGGTTCAGTAAGAGAGCACTTCCACAGAATAAGGTGACAAGTGATGGAATGGGAGACTGAATATCCTCCTCAGCCTCCATCTGTGTGCATGCATGGGAGTGTGCACTCACACACACACACACACACACACACACCAAATAAGGCACACAGTGTGGACACAGCATGCTGCATGGCCTGAGAAGGAAGCCTGATGGGACACTGATTAGGTGTTTCCCAGAAGAGGATCTTCTAGAACACGAGAGTGGAAATGGGCAAATCAACATGATCTGCACCCCCAGTCTCAACACCCTAACCCTGTGCCCACTTGGCCCAGTTGCATGGCTTCCAGTATTATTCCATTCCAGTACTTCCTACTGTAGACAAGCTTCTCAAAACCAAAAAAAAAAAAACCCATGTGCTGTCTACACTCTTTTTACTTCCAGTTCAACCAAATCCACCCTGCTTTAGCTGCAACAGCTGGATGACTAACAGGGACAGAATACTAAATGCACCCTGAGGCTGCACCCAAGGGGCCCCTTGTCCCCGCTGTTTCCATTCCACGAGCTTAGTGTCCCTCTCAGTGGCTTTCACGAGAGTGAGGCGCCATTCCTTTTTTTTTTTTTTTGCAATGCTTTCTTTTCTCTGACTGCCATGACATCTACTCTCCGGTTTATGCTCCCGTGTCACTGCCTGCTTCTTGGCCTCTTTTCTCCGAAGCTTCCACTTTATCCAGTGTGAAATGTCACCATTTCATGGTCTGTCCTGGGCCCTCAATACTTCCCAGGACAGACCATGCAAGCTCATTCATCCCCATGGCTGAACACACCATTCTAAAGCCATATATTTGAGCCTGACTTCAGGAAATATTAACCATCGAGAGATTAACTTTTGTTAATTTGGGTTTTTTAAATGTCTTTCTTGTTGAGGATTTCATACATGTATATAATGCATTTTTATCAAATCTAACCCTAATCTCCCCTCCAATTTCTCCCCTACCCCCCACAGAACCACTTTTCCTTCCTAACTTCATTATTTCAACCCACTCGGTCCCCCTCAGTGCTGCCAGTATGTGCATCTCCTGGAGCACATGCAGCTTCACAGGGCTGGACAAAGTTTGGGTGGCCTTCCTGGCACTTTTCTTCCTTATATTGGTACCTGCTAGATGGTTAGATGGAAGGTCTTATTGCAGGAAAATCTATTCTGATTTTCTTCAGAAATCAGACCAAAGCAGTAGCTAGTATGCTGACAAGATAGCTCAATGGATAAGAGACTTACCAAGAAAGCATGAGGACTTGAGTTCAGATCCCTAGCAAACACATGGATGCTATGCACAGTCTTGTACACTATGTTAATCCTGGGACTTGTTTGCCAAAAGACTAACCAAAACACTGAGTTCCGGTTCAGTGAAGAGATCGTATCTCAAAAAACCATTGTGAGAACTGATTGAGGAAAGCATCAACCTCTGACCTCCACATGAACCCATATGATTGAGAGTGTATGTGCACATGACTCTCTCCTATGCACACCACATACATATACCACACATGTCCACACACACACACACACACACACACACACACAGTTCCTACTCAAAATTATTTGTTGACTGGATAACTGAATGAAACATAAAAAGCAGATTAAAATCATAGAACCCATCTATAGGTTTCATTTCTTTTTTAAATTCTTCCCTCAATCCAGCTCAAGTACATCCAGACAAGCCTTACAGATTGTGTTTCAAAGACTTCACCCTTCTATTGTAAGGGGTTCCCCACCCACCATGATCTGTGCTGCCTCCTGAGGAATTTCCCCATGAAGTCTCATTGGTAGTCTTGATAATCCTGGGTTCACAAAAGTCTTTATCTGTGGCGCTCATACCTGTTTGTTTCAGGAAATACTCTCCCTGGAGCAGCTCATGTTCCACCCTAGTGTGTATTCGCAGTCTCATACTTTTACCAACACACACCATCCCCTGTTCCAGGAACAGCAGACAGAAAACAATAGTCCAGACTGTGGAAAAGGAGAAAGACATCTTAGCCTGGCCCGTTAGCACCTACAGAAGAGGAAGTCATGGGTAGAGCACACTCAGTTCAGAGATGCAGGTAAACTCTCTTGACACAAACTTGAAGCTGAGACCCCTTCCATGGTTAAGCCCACTGGAACAGAGGAGTTCTCAGAGCCAAGGGGAACCAATAAATAGATCATCTTCCTTTTGCATGAAAAACTTTCAGAAAGGGTCCTGAAACTTTCACTGGTCCTCTGGGATGAGCCATCAGAGATGTCGATCAGAAGTTTAAGAAATGTTTTATAAATAGGCAAAACACAGCAATGATAGCTGGAATATTCTTTTCCCCTTTATCATGTGACATTGGCCAATCTAAATAAAACAATGTTTCTGACTCCAGATTCTAGCTCTGGGTCTGCTAAACTGTGTGACACTTGGGAAATCACTTAAACTCTCTTAGTCTTAATTCCTTCTCCATTTTTCTTCTATCCTTCCTTCTTTCCTTCCTTCCTACCTTCCCTCCATTTTAGTTGTTGTTTATTCCTTGATTTTTTTTTTACAGAATCTTGCTATAGAGCTCAAGCTGGCCTTGAACTTGTCATCTTCCTGCCTTAACCTCCCAAGTGCTGGGATTACAGCCTGTGTCACTAAGAATAATGTCCTTACTGATCATGAATATTAAACCAGTTTATAAAAGTACAGGCACCATACCTGAATCAGTAATGTTTTGTATCCCTGCATGCCTGAGCAGAAGCAAGGGTTTTGAAGACTAGACACTTGTTCCAGAGAATTTTCTTCTCAACTTGCTCAACCAAACACACAAACAAATAATCCAGTGACTTGGATAAAGAGAAACTCTCCTAGCTTTGCACCCTGGTCCATGGTTTCCTGTGTTTTTCACTTGTTCATGTTATGTGTTTGTCTGCCTTCTATTCCTGCATCTCTTAAGATGTATAGCATCTCTTCAGATGCACAGAAAGTTTGCTGGCTTGAATTAAATTTGACCTACTACATAGTCAGAGGTGACTATTGAACCCTTGGAAGGTAGTTCGCTTGGATTTTATGGATATAAAATGCATACCTGGTTTTAAACATTTGGCACAAAAAGTAAAATATTTATATTAATTACATGATGAAACAATAATATATTACATACGAGTGAGCTAACTAAAATTTGATTTTTACCTATTCTCTTCCATTTGTTTAATGTGATTACTGTAAATTTTAAAATCCTGTGCACAGCTTATAGGTTATGTTTCTGTTTGTTCGGGTTTAAGGAGACTATCTACCACTAACTGAGTGAAGGATCATTGACTATATCCTAGACTTCTGGCTCTGCACTCCCCACTTCTAAGGTTATAAGACACTTTATAAGTTACAGTGTCTTAGGATTTTGTTAATGTTAGAATATAGGTTTGTTTGCTTTTGAATGAAGAGTGAATAAATAGATGTAGAATAAATATTAGGGGGAGGAATGCATTCCCATTGCAAATGAGAAAGAGAATGCCTGTAGACATTCATGGACCGGGCTACAGTGGCATGGCACTGAAGAAACAGAGCTAGACTGGAATCTGCGTTTCTCCCCCTGGCTCTTTGAAAAATTACCATATCAAAAGTAGTTCAAGAGTCACTGTGGACGCCTAAGGTGTGATTCCAAACTTGTATAGCAGAATCTTATATTGTTAGGAAAGTTGCAAAAAATGTTTTCAGGAGGCTCCTTGTCAACTGGAGAGGAAGCCTCCTCCGCACTTGTCAGGTTTGGTAGATCAATTACATCCAGTAGAAAAGTGTTGGAAGCTTCTAAGGAGAGGGGTTGAAGAGGCGGCCAGGCAGCGGCTGCTGGTGGTTAATAGTTCACTAGCTGGGCACGATGTGCCTGGGAGGGCAGCAGGAGTGAAACATTGACCAGCTCTCATTTAAATGCAGGAATGTGGTGGGGAGGCCAGGACGGTCATGGGAGCAATCGGCACCTGAGACAGCTCCCATGGGCGACATTCCTGTGAAAGGAAAAGGGAGTGTGCTCAGAAGGGAGGAAAGGGCCTCTGGCCTCAGAATTCCTTTATTTCACTAACTCCTACAGCCATTTCCAGAACCTGATTAAAAAAAAAATAGTGGTGAGGTCATGTTTGGCTTTCCACCCCACCAAGCCCTCCTAAATTTTATATCTGATACCGCAGAGTGAGGGACAGGAAAAACAAGATGAATTAGTAAGTTTCTTGCCCTAACCTCTGAGCCGAACCGGAGAACGCAATGAATTGGACCTGGGTTCAAGTCCTGGCTCCCCATTGTCATGCACTTTTAGGCAATTAAATTGCTCTCTGAATCTCAGTTTACAAAACTGAAAAAGGAAAGTGATAAAACTTGTCTCCAAGTGTTGCTACAGTGATTAACTGATGAGGAGAAACTCCTGACTCCTCTTTCAATCATTGTTGAGTTGAAAGGTATGAAAGGCAATATCTAGCTGTTCGAAATCATCCATGGCCTCCCACAGCCCTAGGGAGGGCACCTCCATCCCTCTGTGATCTGATTCCAGTTCACCTATAAAGCATCCCTCCTTCCCTCTGCCTCCTCCTCACCACCGCCATTCCCCTCTCCCTGGAAGTTTCTGCCCTGTGACACATCTAGAATCAACATTCCGGATGGTGAGGCTGTATTCCTTAACATTTTCTGAAGGCCCTCTGTCACCCAAAGGACTTACCCTTCACAGGGCCACCCCACCCCCACACCCCCAGTACAATCCTCCAAGCTGCCTTGGTCCTTTCTGGGCTTAGAATTTAGCCCCAGTGGGACTGAGCTTGCTAGCCACAGATATAACTTGACAAGGAGCATGTTGCATTTCTCTTAAAATAAAAAGTTAGCTGGCTGCCTGCCTCGTTTCTGTTATATAGACTCAGATTAAATTTCTCTTGGAGTAGTTTGCAAAGGCCCCTCCACGCTGGAATGGGAAGTGATTTACATTTTTCTCTTGGCAGGGAATTCTCCAAGTGAGAACAGCCTTGAAAAACAACCATTTAGCCTGAGTTCCAGCGTGGTATATGCATGTACACTGCCTGTGTGAAGATGTGTGTGCATGTGCCTGGGTCTGGTCAGGCTGGGAAGCTGCTTCTCATTGGTTGACAAACTCCAGGAGTAGAAACTCAAGATGGGGACAGTTTTAGAAATATGATGGCCTTACTTATGGTAACATAGCTCCATGGTTGGGTTTTAAAGTTGACGCTGGCAGTTGAAGCAGATGGGAAATATTAATCAAATCAAATGAAAATGCAGCTTTCATCAGCATAAAAAGTCTTAACCATTCTGAGTGTGTGGGCTGGGAGGACTGAGAGCATTACAATAACTGCTACTCGTTTTATTGAAGACCTATTATGCACCAAAAGGATGTTTAATGTTTACAATATAGCTACCCAAATTAAGGGTTTTTTTTATTTTTTAGATGGGAAAAATGGAGTTAAAGGTAGAGAGTCCTATAAGACATTCCTATTCCTACTAGTAGGAGATAGGCCCAAATGACCATCTAAGTATGTTTGCCTCCAGCTACTAACCTACATGTCCTAGCCTGTGGGAGACAAGCCTCAGGGTTTTGATAGCAAGTACACCACATGCTATGGTCACTCCACTTCCAAGGAGAGCTTTGTTGTTGTTTTTAAACTTTGGGGTTCACTTGGTGTCAGTCTGGTAATTAGTTGGGCTAGTAGCAGGTAAATGAGACGGGCATCTTTATGGGCAAACTCCTCTTCTAGTCCACTGTCAAAATATTTTTTCTTTAGCAGCAGCTAAAACCTTTAACGAAAAATAAGCCAAGCTGTCAGAAAGTATTCCTGTGACTGGACTGTCTTTAGGATACAAGATAAACATATCCAATATAGTTTTGTTCGCCTTTTTTTTTCTTGAACACTAACTTTAAACTGACCACGCCCTGTCACATACATCTTGAACATGTTTCAGAATGTTCCTACCTTCAAACAGCTTTCTCGTATTAGTATAGGTAGGTTCCCCCTACCACCCAAGAGAAAATCCCCCTGCTTCCTTTGTTCGTAGAGGGTGTTCCTTTGGAAATAATTACTACACTCCCTTACCTGCAGCAGGTAATGAATCTTTCTTCAGTCTTATTACTTGGTACTGTTTGCTTTGGCTTTGCATGACTAAGATGTTGACTCATCACTTTCTGTTGGAGTGACTGAAGCTTGGAGCTTTGCCTCTTCCTCTCTTCCTTTTAAACAGGACAACTAAAACTGAGCCAAAGGTTGAGTCTACTGTTCCACATTGTCTACAAGCAAGCTCTATTTAAACTTCACCAAGTCAGAAGCCATACTTCAAGGATAAGAAGTGTGTTTGGGCTTCATAAGAAAGAGGGCAAAGCTGGGAGGTCAGAACCCAGATGAGAAGAACTGCTTCCCAGAGTGCACTGGTTCTTGAACCAGGTTTTCTCTGCCTCTCCACATGAGGCCAAGCCTTTTGTTTCTCAACTACAAGGACCTCAGTTAGGGTTATATGTTGGATTTTTACTGAGGATTTGAGAAGAGGATCAATCCATCATGCATCAGCCATTTCTATCCCCTCCCTCCGTGGAGAGTCTTCAGGAAGCCAACACTCTCCCTTCTCCATCAGGGTCCTCCCCAGGCCTGTCTCATCATGTGTTCTGCCTTGCCGCACTAGAGCATGTTTAAGCAGGAAACGCTGATGGGTTCTGCTCTTCTCCTGGTGCTTCCCATCCCTTCATCAGTTTGGAAGTGGACAAGAAAAGGAGCGGTCCCTCCTTATCAGTTCCCCGAAAACGTCAGTAAGTAGTCAAGCATGTCCAAGCATGGTCTCAAACCACTTCTGAGATAGAGACTTACCAGAGTCCCTGACTTCTATAAATGAATTGCTTTGGGGTTGATGACTGACCTGACTTGGATGGGTGTACTCAGTTCTGACAGTCTTGTCAGAGGTCAGGAGTCACATGGATGTCAACAGGAAGGAATGGTTTCAGAGGAAAACAGTCTAGGGCTGAGCACATACCTCCAGGCTCCTCTCCTTTTCAACAAGCAGAGAATTACACCTTAGGGAGAATACAGTCTCACAGATCATATTAGAACTGAAATTCTGACCGTGGTCAAATTGGGTTCATGGGCATGTTCTTTTCACAGTTATGAGGCCTCATAAGCTGGCCCTGGGGTGGTCATCTGAGTTCAGCCTTGAATAGCATCCCTAGCATCTTCAGCTATTTCAACAGCAATACTGATAGCAGGGATGAACTTAGGACACAAGCTAAACATATCCAAAGTAGTTCTGGCATCCATATGCATGTACAAACACACATACACACAAGCATGTACACACACATGCATGCACACATTCCCACACCAGCACAGACACATGTGTATGTGTAATACTCACAAGAACACTAACACATGTTAACTGTCTTGGGGCTGAAAGATTTCAGGAGACATGGAAGTGGGGACTATAGTTAGATAGTGAGGATTCTTGTGAAGGATTTGTTATATTTTATTTTAGAGGAAAAGAGAGGATGTCCCGAAACTCATCTTCATCTTTGATGTCTTTATACTTCCTTACTCCAGAAAGTACTAGTAACTTTTCCTGGATACTTTGCCAGTGTTTCTCCGTGGGTTTTCCGGTCGATCAGTTCTCCCGTGTAAACATTTCCTACAGGTCCCATCAGCTAAGGGATTTACAGGAAAATTGCAGGCACTGATGGATATTCTAGAGCTTGGTAGATATGAGGCCATGAAGTCAACCACCTTGTATCTTCAAGGGCCATCTGCATCTGTAGCATCAGTGATTTTGAGGTTGGATGAGGCTGGTGCACATTAAGTTGTAGGGTTGCTGGAGATCAGTTAGAGATTAAACCTTTGCGAAGCCGAGCTGGTTCAGCTGGTAAAGATGATTAAAGAGGTTAACCACAGTTGATAGAGCCTAAGCCATGACTCTACAAATGAGGCCTTCATTCAGTGCTGTTACTTGAAGGTCCAGGAGTGGTACCCAAGGGACTGATTGAATTTGCTGATTGGCCAGACATGCTTGCTTCCACACTAACAGCATGTTGACTGAACTCCTTGTGGATATGTGATAAGTCTAAGGAAATCCAGATCTTGTGGACCTCCTCGTCTACTCCTTTCACATAATGACAAACTTCAGGAATGGAATGACTTCTTTTGTAAATATAATGAAAAGGATCCATACATAACTTGAGCCTACTGCTGACTCATGCAGGCTAAAAAGCAAAACTCTCTTCCCCAGAAACAGACAAGAGTAGTAAATGACATTTAAATGGTTCTTGTTGTCGTTGTTATTGGTTTTTTTTTTTTTTTTGCACCACCCTTACCAGGCTCTCCTACAACTGTGACATCTCACCTACTGGCCTTCCTGGTGGTGACTTAGTGGACATATAGAAATCTTAGTTAAGTCTTTCTTCACACTTTTTGCTTGAGTCTAAATAATGGGGGGAAAAAACAAAGAAACAAAACATCCAAAGTACCAAGGCCCTTTTTATAAGCATAAGTGATAGCCTTGAATTGGTAGCAGGTGTCCCTCTTCTGTTCCCATTGCTCTACAATGGTAGGAGGGGGAAAATGAGCAACACCAAAATAAAGAATGGAAACTTCGTTAAATATTATCTACACGGAGATAGTGCTTTTCCTGTTCTCAGACTGCCTAGTGTCTAAGCATTCTGAGGCACAGATGGGGGTAGTCAAGAGGATAAGCTATAGGCAAACGTAAGGAGAACAAGTCTGGCAGGAAAGCTTCCCAGTGCTCATATATCCTTTGTAACAGCAATTTGATTGTTACCTATTGGTTAGGATTTTTAAACAGTATTCATTAATTAATTAGAATCCACATTCATTAGAAATTATGTATGCATGTATATCTATATAGTATATATGCTATTGTTGTAGCATTGTTTATAATAGTAAAAATGGAAGATAACTTAAGTTGCTATCAGTCAAGGTCTTGATTAGGCATAGAGTAAAACACAAGGACAAAGGTTATTTTCCGG